GATATTCACACGGATGGATTAGAACTCGGAGCTCGTATCAACAAGCTTAAGAAAGAAATTGATGAAGTAAAAACTATTAAATTACTCGAAAGAAGATTTGCCCGACTAACCAATGTGTTATATTTTATTTCAAATCTATAAATGATTATTTAAAGGCTTAGAGCCCGATGGACTCTAGTAGTGGGCTAGGCACATCCATGATGGATGAAAATACAAAAAAATAGTTTTTAGTCTAGCCATATAAATATTAAGTAAAGCATGTGTTCTTCGATAACGCACAAATCCCTAAAATTTGCATCCAAATCCTAATGTGACTGACTTTGAAGTGCCAAGATTAGCAAGATGGCACAATGCGAATAGTTCAACCCTTTTGAAATGTAAGATTGGCCCTGGGTTCTTATGGAAGTTTCGAATGACGCCACTTATGCAATAGTCGTAGGGAGTTTTTGTTACAAAATTTATGATGATAAAGAGAAGTGGGTGTGTGTTGATGTTGAGTTGAATGAAGATTTGAGTTTTTTGCATGATGCTTGAACACATATGAATTAGGTTAAATAGGGTGTATAGAATAGTACTGCCCGCATCGAGTGGCTATGCAATTTGGTATAGATCAAGATCTACCGAGTCTTGTAGAGAGAAGTAGTAAAACTCAAGAACTTACATGAAAGAGTTTTGATAAACAAATCAAGAATACAATGCTATATATTCCATTAAGACTTCATGAAGTTGGATGTTACTATAAGATACATGGAATGGTGGAAGTAATCAGTTCATAATGAAAAAGATGGAAGTGGAAGTCTAAAATGTTTAGACATTCGGGTTCTAGTTTCAAATGGAAGAATTTAGATCATTATCCTCTTTATCCACCTGGTTTTAATCCAAAATGTCAACATATTGAAGTACTTGACTTTGATGATGAGGATAATCTAACATTGACGGAGTTCTTAATTCATAATAACAAGTTCAAAATTATTGATCATGGAATAGATGGTAATGGCAAGTCTTTGTCGGCTATCGAACATAGTCTATTATCTTCTACCGAACAAAGCAATGATGATGAAAATGTAAATGTAGAGATTAAATTGAAGGAAAACAACTTTTAAAATTAACCCAATAATGTAAAAGAAAACACAAGCAAGAACAATGCAGATAGCCCGAGTCCAATTCACAATGCTCGATTTTCTAAAAAACACTAAAGGAGGGTTGTTTTGATATTCACACGGATGGATTAGAACTCGAAGCTCGTATGAACAAGCTTAGGAAAGAAATTGATGAAGTAAAAGCCGTTAAATTGCTCGAAAGAAGATTTGCCCGACCAACCAATATGTTATATTTTATTTTAAATCTATAAATGATTATTTAAAGGCTTGGAGCCCAATGGACCCTAGTAGTGGGCTAGGCACATCCTTGATGGATGAAAATACAAAAAAATGGTTTCCATTCTAGCCATATAAATATTAAGTAAAGCATGTGTTCTTCAATAACGCACAAATCCCTAAAATTTGCATCCAAATTCTAATGTGATCGACTTTGAAGTGCCAATATTAGCTAAATGGCACAATGCAAATAGTTTAACCCTTTTGAAATGTAAGATTGGCCCTAGGTTCTCATGAAAGTTTTGAATGGCACCCTTATACAATAGTTGTAGGGAGTTTTTGTTACAAAATTTATGGTGATGAAGAGAAGTGGGTGTGTGTTGATGTTGAGTTGAATGAAGATTTGAGTTCTTTGTATGATGCTTGAACACATATGAATTACTTGGAATAGGGTGTATAGAATTGTACTCGCCTGCATCGAGTGGCTATGCAATTTGGTATAGATCAAGATCTACCGAGTCTTGTAAAGAGAAGTAGTAAAACTCAAGAACTTGCGTGGAAGAGTTTTGATAAACAAATCAAGAATACAATGCTATATATTCCATTAAGACTTCATGAGTTGGATGTTACTATAAGATACCGGCAATGGTGGAAGTAATCAGTTCACGATGGAAAAGATGGAAGTGAAAGTCTAAAATGTTTAGACATTCCGAGTTCTAGTTTCAACGGGAAGAATTTAAATCATTATTCTCTTTATCCACCTGGTTTTAATCCAAAATGTCAACATATTGAAGTACTTGACTTTGATGAGGAGGCTAATCTAACATTGAAGGACTTCTTGATTCATAATAATAAGTTCAAAATTATTGATCGAGGAATAGATGGTAATGGTAAGTCTTTGTCGGCTATCGCACATAGCTCTATTATCTTCTACCGAACAAAGCAAGTGATGAGGAAAATGTAAATATAGAGATCAAATCGAAGAAAAATAACTTTTAAAATGAACCCAAAGTGCAAAGGAAAACACAAGCAAAAACAAGTGTAAATAGCCCGAGTCCAATTGACAATGCCGGTTTTCTAAAAAACAAGAAAGGAGGGTTGTTTTGATATTCACACGGATGGATTAGAACTCGAAGCTCGTATCAACAAGCTTAGGAAAGAAATTGATGAAGTAAAAGTTGTTAAATTGCTCGAAAGAAGATTTGCCCAACCAACCAATGTGTTGTATTTTATTTCAAATATATAAATGATTATGTAAAGGGTTGGAGCCCAATGGACTCTAGTAGTGGGCTAGGCACATCCATGATGGATGAAAATACAAAAAAATGGTTTCTAGTCTAGCCATATAAATATTAAGTAAAGCATGTGTTCTTTAATAACGTACAAATCCCTAAAATTTTCATCCAAATCCTAATGTGAGTGACTTTAAAGTGCCAAGATTAGCTAAATGGCACAATGTGAATAGTTCAACCCTTTTGAAATGTAAGATCGGCCCTAGGTTCTTATGGAAGTTTCGAATGGCACCCTTATGCAACAACTCGTAGAGTGTTTTTGTTACAAAATTTGTGGTGATGAAGAGAAGTGGGTGTGTGTTGATGTTGAGTTGAATGAAGATTTTGAATCATACTTCTACATGTGAGGTCCATGGACAAGGATCGGCAATGTATGGCCTTAAAAAATATTTAAGAAGAAACAAGTAGAATTTCATGTGTTTTATTTGATATTTCTTTATATAATCAAAATTTATATTAAAATTGTAACAGCTTTTATTTTAGTCTATTAACTTCAAATTTATTCAATATATATATAATTGTTGGTTGTGTTACAAATTAACTATGTAAAAACACAAAACACCGACCTTCACTATTTATTTATTCATTTATTTATATTATGGATTTATTTTTTAAAATTAAACAATTAAAATTGTGATTTGCAAAACTAACCAATTATTCAAATAAAGTTTTTTATTCGAATATTGTTGATAATTTTATGAATAATTAAATCAAAATCAAATACATAGAATTTCAAATAATATTTTCAAAAAAATGAAATAAAAATCAGAAATATTTTTATTTGTTTATTTTTATGCAAGTTCTTACGCCAATTATTATTTTATTTTAGCGACATAGTCTTATAAAAATAATAGTATGTTTTTATATATTTCATATTAATTTTGGTTTTTTATTAAAAATTCATGGATAAAAAAAAAGTTTTTTTTTTGTACAAAAATTATGAAAATATGAGAAAGAATTAGTGAAACATAAAATTTTGATTAAAAATTTATAAAATTAAATAATATTTTTTTAACCTTGAATTAATATATTTTAACATACTCATAGTATAGTGTGGAATATTGAACTGAAATTATTTTTTCAAATTATTTTACATGTGGATAAAAAAAAACTAATTTATTACTAAGTCAAAAATGGCACATGCAAGGCTAAAGAAAACCAATAAAAAACAAAATAACTTTATATACACAGATATACATATATCTCCAAAAGCTAAGAGTATGTCATACACAATACCCTGTAAAATTTTGTCAATACAATATGGGCCCCCTTTTGCCAGCATTGTGGTCGTGGTAAATCAATTACCTTGTCGGTGATAAATTACCCTGTAAAATTCTCAAAGCCTGTGGTCGTGGTAAATCAATTACCTCGTCGGTGGTTCAGAAGCTTTTAATTTATCAACTTAAAACTCCTCTTTTAACAGTATTACAACTTTTCCGTTTTTAGCATTTTTATATTTTCTTTTCGTAAATGGTTAGGTCTTTAGCAAAATAATAGTCAATCCTTCTAGTTTACAAATTTTGAATATTGCACCCCTACATTTTCATTTTCATATATAATCCAGTCCCTCTGTTAAGTGTCTATTAATAAGGTGTTGAATTGTCACTAATTAAGTTATTTTTCTTCTCGATATACTCTTTTGACTCTATATTAATTGAAAGGAAATAGGGATAGTTTGGTCATTGTCTAAAAATCTAATATAATTTTTAAAGAATTAACCGTCATAGACCATTAATGGACTAAGTTATAGTTTACAAAACTAAAAGTTCCAAGTTATATGTTGCTAAAAAATAAAGGGACTGAATTATTACGCACTTTAAAAAAAAAATTCTTCATTAGCCTACCAGCTTGCATAAAAAAATTGTAAATTATAAATTAATCCCTTCTGTTCAACAAAATGAATTAAAAAGTCAATTTAGTTTCCAAAACTAATTAGTTTAATTTAATAATATTTTATTCTATAGTATTTTTTTTTAATCAATCTTTTCATCTTATCCATTTTTTTATTTCTTAAAACCAAAAAAAAATAGTTAAAAATAAATATAACCTAGATGAAAAAGAATAACTTACAAATAAATTTAAAAACACAAAAACTATTTTTTTTTTTGTCTTGCCAGCTGGACCCAGAGGGCCCCAGATTTTCGACCTTTAGTACTAGTAATAAATATATTTTTCTTGTACACATGAAAAAAGAGAGAAACCCATCCATTCCATTCCTTCCATAAAGGGCAAGAAAACGAAACCACATGTTTTGACTAAAAACCATTGGCGCCCAACTCTTCTCGAAACAGATCAGTCGGATAGACGATGGAGTACAGCTTCTGCATTTCTATTTCTATGTACTGCTACTATAAAAATGGGGCTTTCTTTGGTTTCTTGAATGCGGACAAAAATGTCTAAGTTTGGGTTTGGACACAGTAAACTTCAATATGGTCTAATGAGGTCAGTGTTTGTATTATCATTTGCATCCCTTATAGGAATTGCTCTCTTTGCACGTTTCCTTTGGACCTCATCTTCTTCCATTTCTTTTACTTATCAATCCATTGCATCCCTCAACCGGACTGTTGAGGAATCTATAGTTAATGTTGTTTCCAGTGACAATAGCATCAAGCTGCAGGGTCACCAGGTAATGCATTGATCTTTATGTTTTCTTGATGTATATGGTTATCAACTGGGATATTGGTCTTGTTTGATTTGATGATGTTTGTTATTGATACTGAATGCTCATTATTTGTTTCTTCCTCCTTTTTGTTTTTTAGAAAGAAGCTTCTAAAGATGTCAATAACAATATTAAAGGGAGAGTCTTGTCTGCCACTTTTGCTGATTTACCAGCACCAGAGTTAAAATGGGAGCAGATGCCATCAGCACCTGTGCCTCGTCTTGATGGTTATTCAGTACAGATCAAGAACCTTTTATATGTGTTTGTTGGGTATGCCAACCTTGACCATGTGAGAATCTTTCATCCATTGCCTAATTTCTTATTTTTCTCTTACTTTTGAGTCCAATTGTAGATTAATTTTCAACAATGCTTCAAAGCATCTTTTGTATTTTAAACCGTCGAATGGAGTTATTGTGATTAGAATCAATGATTTGTCATTTTTGTTCCTTCTATATCTTGATCTGATTGGATGTTTGTATCTTATAGGTACATTCTCATGTTGATGTATACAATTTCAGTGATAATACATGGTGTGACAAATTTGATACCCCAAAAGACATGGCAAATTCACATTTGGGAGTGGCAACAGATGGGAGATACGTATACATTGTCTCAGGACAATATGGAACTCAATGCAGAACAGCTATAACTGACAGTTTTTCACTGGACACTGAGACAAGGAAATGGCATCGATTGCCCCCGTTACCGGCACCAAGGTACTTGACTTGACCTGAAAATCCATGAGTGTTGAACTTACTTTCTTATCCAATCTGGGAATCAGAATTTTCAACTGCTTGTTTCAAGTGTGTTTCATTATCAAGCCAATTCCTGTTTCCAGTGTTGTGACTAATGAACCTTCTATCCTGTACCCGTATTTGTCTGTTTACTACCTTGGCAGCTAATTTTTCATATTTTGAGAGTTATTGATCTTTTTATTTAGAGAAAAGAAGTGCTTTCATCACATTCCTGAGAAAAATCTGTTAGCCTGTAATCGTCACATCCTTTCAAATGTTCATGCGATGTGCAAGTATATCTATGCAGGTTGACTTGTTCATTTTAACCCTGTTCCCAAATGCCAATTCATCATCATTTTCTAGCCATTTTTTTAGTTATCTATTGTGTTAGTGTTTCTTTAAGATGATTGTTTTATGTCAACTAATATTTAATATGTATAATGGGCTGCAGTCGGTTTTCCCACAAAGGCCTTTGCCTGGATTAACTCCTTTATGCTTAGCAACACCAAAGCTGGTTTAGCTTTTGATGCTTAGGTAACAGTTGTGATTTGGAAGGGTCAAAATTCTTCCCTGTACTAGCAGGATCTAAAAATAGTTTGGCATTGAGATGAGAGAACATGAAAGAATTGCAACTTTGGAATAGGAGATGTGTTAACTACTAGCAGTTCATCAAAAGCTGAATGTTATAAAGCCATGTACTCAATGCCTTAAATGAACATTACTAACATGAGTTTTCAGGTATGCTCCTGCAACTCAATTATGGAGAGGCAGACTGCATGTGATGGGGGGAGCAAGGAAAATCGCCACACACCGGGAGTTGATCACTGGAGTATTGCAGTAAAGAATGGAAAAGCATTGGAGAAGGAGTGGCGCACTGAAATACCTATTCCCCGTGGAGGACCACACAGGTCTGCTTGCTGCCCTCGTTTATGAATGAAATTGGAAATGAGATTCTGTTTTGAGGATTAATTTGCCTCAATCATTCGTCTCCTGAGAAAATATTTCAGAACCAACTCTAATAATGTGGTAATTAATTATCTTCTGTACTCTAACCGTGAATGTCGTTTTGGCGACAGGGCCTGTATTGTGGTCAATGATCGGCTTTTTGTCATTGGTGGTCAAGAGGGTGATTTCATGGCTAAACCTGGGTCGTCTATTTTCAAGTGTTCTCGAAGGAAAGAGGTATGCAGGCTGATCATTTGTTTTCATTAGACCATATTGGATTTTCGCATGCTGTGCTCTCTCTTTGGCAATGTTAGTATATGATATAGCTTTTAGATTCTGCAATGTTTCAGGTAGTTTATGGCGATGTTTATATGCTAGATGGTGAAATGAAGTGGAAAACTTTACCGGAAATGCCAAAACCCGACTCCCATATTGAGTGTGCTTGGGTTATTGTCAACAACTCAATTATCATCACTGGAGGTACTACAGAAAAGCACCCAATTACCAAAAGGATGATGCTGGTTGGAGAAGTGTTCCAATTCCATTTGGACTCCCTGGTACTGATCTTCTCCTTTCCCACTCTTAAGACGGATTATGTTTTATGTCCATGTCATATATTTTTCAGCCATTCGATCAATAAAATACTTGTCAGTTGGACCTGTCATAGACTAGTTGGAAGTAGATAGATCGAGTAAAACTCAGACTGAATCAACCCTTTATCATGCAAGCATTTCCTGCCATGGGATTAATGTGAGGATATCTCTCCGTTAAACCATTGCACATTTCTTCTGCTGCATAACCAAGAGTAGCCATTCTTTGGCTTCTTTCGTTAATTTTGGCACCTAGGGCTTGCATCAAACTTGCTCCTTTCTGTATTGACTCGATTAGGAGCCAATTTTGCAGTCACTTCTTAGTCTTCTTTAGTGCATTGGAAAATATCAAAACTCATCTTCATACATTATATATATTTTGCGACCTTCATCTCCATCAGCTAAATAAATAAATAAATAAAGGTTAGCAGCTATTCACCAGATATGCGTTCTTTGGCCTTTTTTTCTGTCAACAATGGTATCATCTGTCATCAATCGCACTTCTCATAAAACCAGTAAATCACCCCGGTCGCAACAAGGCTACTCCGCTAGTTTAAGCTCACTACAATCCAGATTTTGGGTTTTAGTAGCAAACTAGCTCAATACCCACGCGTTGCCGCAGGTAGGTTTATCATTTCTCTGTTTTAATATTTTAAATAATTTAAAAATATAAATATAAAATAAAATTTAATTAATACTCATTGTAAAAAATATATATATATATATATATATATATATATATATATATATAATTGAATTGAAATATTTCTTAGGAATATTTTTTATTTTGATAGATAAAATATATCTACAATTAATTAATCATTTTTAAAAAATCCAATTAGAAGAAGGTGTTTAATCAATTTATATTAGAAGAATATTTAATTTTAGTTCATGAATATTTATAAAAATAGAAAAAGTAACCATTGATGATGAAAAAAAATTATTTTGATTAAATAATAATTAATGGAAAAAACCCAATCCAAAAAAAAATGATAAGGACCTTTTGGTAACATTCATGAAAATTAAAGATTTTTTTATATAAAATAATAATTTAGAGGACCAAAGTGTAAACTATTGATAAATTGATAAAAAAAATAACTTTTTTTTTGAAAAACAGCAAAAAAAAACTCAAAACGACGCCGTTTTAATTTTACTGTTACGATAGCTTAGCTACCGTAAAACTATATTCTCTTTTAATATATGTATAATTGATTTTCCTTCGAACAAGTACAAAGAGAATTCAAGTGAATATTAAACAAGTTTTTTATGTCAGTTTTCAACGTATGGCTAATACAATGGGCAAACATGTGAAAATTTATGTCCATTTCGCATTGCAGACATGGTCAGTGATTGGAAAGCTTCCTTTCCGCGTAAAAACTACCCTTGCTGGTTTTTGGGATGGCTGGTTGTACTTTACATCAGGGCAGCGGGACAGAGGACCAGATAATCCACAGCCAAAGGAAGTCATTGGACAGCTGTGGAGAACCAAATTGCACCTGTGATTCAATTTATCAACCTGACCATTCTTTCAAACAATATTACAGCTCCTACATTTTTGACATTTTGCCTTTTTCCTGCAATTGAAAAGGGATCAATTTACCCTCTTTTTCTGCACTTTCCTTTTATGGTTTTATACCTAGATGACAGTTCAATAGCACTTTTTGTCTAACCCCATGTACAAATTTTTAGATGATGAAAATAATTACTCTTAATTCTCTTCATATTGCAGTTTTAGCCACTCTGCTGATAAGTAATGGAACACTAATTGGCTGTTCGACTGGGACATCCTTCTGTCTTCCTGCAATATTGTGCAAACTTTCATCTTGTTCTCGTTCGTGTACAGAACCTATAGTAGCACGAGCTAAACCTGACAAATGAAATGGATCCAAGACCACATAGAAAGAATAAGAGTTCTCAAACTCAGAATATATAAACACATTTCAAAGAGAGAATATACAAACACAAATCGCAGAAACAAGATTCAGTTAACTTGGGTCATCCAGCCCAGCATTTACAATTCGCCATGAATGGCCAAGTTATCTATAGACACATACACGAATATGCTGGGTCCCCCCACCCCCCCCCCCCCCCCCCTCTTTTTTTCAGATATTAGTTCTCCCTTTACAAGTGCTAATGCACTGCTCTGAGGATGAGGAAAAAACATGTGCAAAAATGTCAAAGTCAAGGTAGAAAGAAGTGGCAGTTAATCTAGGCTTATGAACCAGTTATCAACATGGATCCACAGCTTCCAACCAGTTGAATAGACAAACATGACTGCATCCTAAATGCCCGCTAGAGGCTGTAAAACTAATACTCATTAGTTACCCTGAGCAGTATCCAAAATACATCTACCTGTGAAACAAGAAAACCAAAAGAACTTAGGACACGAGGCGAAATGATTAATGAGCAAGTTCTGATTTGTACGATGAAATAAAAAGAAGCAAATGATGCAAAACATTCAAACTTCTCCTTTCACCCCATTTGTCACTCCAGAAACTACTATAAATGTAGGTTTCGCAACAACTTGTTGAAGATTTTCATATTAAATTTGGATCCCTGTGAGACACGTGATTTTTCCATCTTTGATAATTGTTCTCTCTTTTATTGATTCTTTCCAAAATCTTTTTTTCTTTTTTAAATGCTAGCAAAATTCAGAAATGGTACAAGAGAAAACAAACAGTTGAAATTAGAAATTAGTTTTTTGAGCTTCACCCTAAAAGACAAACGATGACTTATAACATACTTTACTTTTGATTACAGTAACAGTTCTACTACTGTTTACTTGATCCACAGAATTTTCATCCTCTACTGAAAGACAAGATATACCTCAGTTTTGAACTGTCACAGCATTATTCATGAAAGCAATCATCAATTGCAATGACTGCAGGCTCCATTCCACTAACCTGGTTGATAATACTCGTATGGCATCCATGCGCCCAAGGACTGCAAAGTAATTCCTTATTTCACAAGATCCATGCACAAATAAATGTTCTGCAGAAAGCTGATGCAAGTTAAGATGGACACAATAAACAAGCACAAAAGAAATAAATAAAGTGGCGAGCAAGAAAGAGAGATTTGCCTTTTTCATTTCAATGAAGGGGCATAAGTAGCTGGGCATGGAGACACGGTGTGATCAGGCAACTGGTGTATCAAATCAACAGTTGCCTGCAAGCATGCATTTAGCATTTTCTTTTCCAATCTAACAAGCTGAGTAGCCACTCGCTTCTTGGGGTTCAAGTTAGGATCTGCCAACTAGTATAGCAAAAGAATTTTGGATTAAACCTCTATCAGCAACATTTTAGACTACCAACAGGATCAGTTAACTCTCAGTTACCATCAATTCATCTTCGCTTAAGCTGGTAGGATAACCTGCAAGGCGTGTTCTGAAATAAACAGTAAGCTGATCTAACACTGCCTGTTCCATACACGGACTTACCTGTAACAGACAAACAATTTCAGAGTGAATCTTAGGAAAATGAGAACCATGTTCCATCTACTAACTAGAGCAAGTCCATATTGATTGCACTAGATATAGATCTCCAGAGTCATAGGCATAGCTAAAATCCATCACTGCTTACCAGCCCTTGCTCCATAATGGTCATATTGCAAGAATAGAAAATGGAAAAACCAAGAGAAAAACTCTGCTCATGAGACAGCAACTAAGTTCAGCTCACAAAGCCCATTCACATACAATTCTAACCATAAATCCCAAAAAGTATTGATCTCTACCTAAAGCATGCTAACATGGATTCCAAATTTTAGTAAAAATAAATCAACCTGAACTTGAGAGATAAGAAAAAATATCAATGAATCCTGATTTCTTACCAAAAAAAAAAAGGGTATGCATTCACCACAGTGAACATCCAAAGAAAAAAAATCAAATATATAACTTGAAAAGTGATGAACTTACTGGACAAACTGGACCTTGAGAAGAAATTACAGATTGCATCTCAGAAGGATCTGATACATATCCCAATCGCAAATAAGGAAGCATATCTGAAACGGCTTCTTTTTCTTTTCCTACATATACCTGCAGCAGGGACATATTAAAAAATCTAAAAGTAAAGACCTATACGATAACCTATGCTAAAAAAAGTTGGGTTCATACTTGAAAAACCTGTACTGAAAGTTTCCCATTTCTTTGAGCAACCATTCGCTTGTCCTGATACTGAGGGTCCTCAGTGTTCAGTGCTGCCTGAACCATACCGTACATAATGCATATCAATAGAGATAATATCGAAACAAATGAATATTTCAATACAGGCAGGGAAAAATCAAGATCACCTCAACTACTATACGGTCATAAGGATTATCTTCATCAATAAAACCATAGTTTATAAGCAATTTTGAATTAGGCTGCGGCCCACACCTGAAAATAAAATTTTCAAATTCCTTAATGAAAAATACTGAGGCCTGCAGAACAAACGAAATTAAGTCCATCAAATCAACTTACATACCAGACAACAATAGGCTCCCCAGCCTTGTATGGTCGATCAACCACTAATTTAACTGCACCATCAACAGCAGTTAACATTGCCTTGCAGTTGCTACAGTATGCTAGCAAAGGCGGTCCAAGAGGAACCAAAGCAAATCTTCGGGCCAGACTGACTTTCTGAACATAGAAGAGAATCAATATATCAATCAGAAAGACTTGTTCAAAAAACAGGTGTATTAAAAATCACCGCAAGACATCATAAGCTAGCATAGCAAAGAAATGCACCAAATTAGGTGAAACCAAGAGCTATAAATTAGAAGCAGAGCACTAGACATGGTATGCTGGCTTAGCAAATAATTGCAGCAGTTATGGGAAATAAGAGCAGCAAAACAATCAGAAATAAAAGCAACTTAAATGAAATAAACAGATTGCTTAATATCTACAACAAATAATCCAAAACAAAACAACTACCCTCATGACTTTGAGGCAGCCACAGTCCACATGACATCCATCAAATTCTATATGAATCAAAGCATCAGTTCTAATGTACGGCACAAAGCTATGGAAAAATTACTCGAGAATGAGCAAATGGAGAAGAAGATGCACAAAAGCTGATGTTTATGCCATCTAGGAAGCAGCAATGGTGAACTCAAAAGGACTCGAAGACAACTGGAGGCTAAAAGCCAAACTTGCAGCAAAGAAGATGCAGAAGGATAAATAGATAGTATTAGTACTAATGAAAAGGAAAAATATTATTTACTATGAAGAACAAGATGTAGAAGGATAAGTCAATAGAATAAGCACTTACAAAAAAGACAAATTTATGTACCACTTGCATCATATTATCTATTCTAAATAATTATGTATAACTGGAGTAGGATGTTTTAAAAAAATATATACATATATATATTATGAGTCCTCACAATTGGTAGATACTCAATCCTGCATTATAAACCAATTCAAGCCAAATTAAGTCCTCCAACATGTTAATACAAGAGAAAAAATGACAGTTATATGTTATCTATGAGCTAGCCTATGTCCTTGGGAATTCAGAAAAACAGCTCAGCTATATACCTGCAAATGCACCACACAGGATTGAATTGCTACAAAAGCTTGTTTAAAAATCTCGAAGGGAAAGGCTTCAGTAGGTATATCATATGGATATTGCTGCAATGTAGACATGGATATCAAAAGAATGTCAGAAGGTAACAATATTAAATCTCTATGAAGAAAGCAGCAAAGCCATATTGTAGATAGATTTCAAATTGGAAACAACAAGGGTATAACCTGAAATAGAGAACCAGCCATGAACCAGACAGTGTCAAGCTCCTCGTATTCTCTTTTTATTCCATCTGCCCTGTCGAGAACTTCAGCCTACTTCAACAGCATAAATCTAGTATTAAACCATGGAGCATTGCATCAATTTTATTGATAAGACAGATAAATTAAAGAATGTGCCAGCATTCACCACTCAACATCGCAAGCATATAGTACCTTAGTTGGGCTACCTGTCAGGTCAGCCAATTCATCTTCAGACCATAAAAGTGGAGATTCCACTGCTAGCTGACCCCTACCTCGCTGACGATCAAGCTCCCTTATATATGGATACCAGAATGACTTTTTTCCTTGCTTCTTCTCATACATCAGATACAAGGCCAAGCATGCCAATTCCGATAATTTGTTTGTGGTTAAGAGTTCCGCTATATAAATAATCAAGCAGACAAAAACAAAATCTTACAATTTATTCAAGCTAAGTTATTCATGAAAGCTGAACATCTAAATTAATCGCATATTTATCATCTTTTCACTCAATAGTATGCCGACAAGTCTCAGAACTTAGTCAAGCAGAGAAACAGCTTCACACAAACACAAAAACATCCCGAACCTATATACTAATACACCTTTTCCACCTACTGCCCTCTCGAAACTGAATAAGATGAAAATTGGCATAGAAGAGGCAAATCTCTCCCCACCGTCACTCTCATAAAGTTGAAAGTGCAGATTCAAAACATTACCAGAAACCGATCACATAAATAAACGTGATTCATATCATTGTTGTTTTATGGTGTTACTATGTGATTTAGCATTGCAAGCTCAAAACCAGCTGGAACAAAAAGACTTGCGCCATTTCAATAACACATGAGAATAACTTCCACGTACACTATGCAAGAAAGCTGTAAGAATAAAAGTTAACAACTGCAAGAGGGAATAGCAAGAATACAGTCTATTCTAAAGGAAATTTACTATCTCAATTCATTTTAACCTTTTTAAGTTCCCATGGCACTAATTGACTCCATGAAATTAACAACCCGTATTCACCAGAGCTAAACCCCAAACACAATACACAATCCAATACGTTCAAAGTAATGAAAAACTACACCTTACCAAGAGTCTCATTTCCCAAAACCCTCTCCAGTGTAACAACAAGCGAATTAGGAACCAAGACCGCCACATCACCAGCCTGCAAAAAGCTCAAACACACACAACAATTAATTAAAAAAAATCGAATTAATTAAAAAAAAAAAAGACACAAAACTCAAAGCCTAACAAGACCTGAAGATCCTCACTAGCAGCAACATAATGAATAGGCCGATGTTTCTTATCATGAGAAGGTCTTTCTTTAAGCACAACTTTACAAGGAGGCAATCCATTTTTATGCATCCAAGACTTCAAATCCTCATTTTTGTCTTCTTCTTCTCCTCCTCCTCCTCCTCCTTTTTGGCTCACTACTTCACTACTACGCTTCCCATCCACTAATGTTGCAAAGCACAAATTTATCCGCCGCCGGCGAAATGAAACGGCGCGTTTAGGAAGACTGGAGAGTGAAATTGAAACCCTAGAGAGAACTGTAAGAGAAGGAGAAATGCATTTGTTGCGCAAACAAGTGAGTTCCATTTTTTTCGATTTTTTAGGGTTCGAGATTGATTGATTACTGAGAGAAGTGAAAGATTGGAGATAAAGTTTTCTTGTTTGGTGGTGTGGGGATAAGAGAGGCAGATGGCGTGAGAGAGAAATGAAAAGATTTTGGTTTGTTTTGTTTTGTCGAGTTCAAGAATTACATTGGAGGGAAACAAAAATATCTTCTTTTGCTTGCGGTTGAGGGTGCTTCACCAGTTATTCACTGTTGCCACTTGAAGCTGTGAAAGATTTGTGAACCAGTAAATGGGTAATATATAGTTTACTACATAAACTTTATCAAATCGTACACTTGAGTACTCATGTTTTGAATTGAGGCAAAAGATTGTTACAATTCAGTACTTTAACTTTAATTATTTTCCAATTGATCATTAATGTAATAATGTTTGGATACTTTGAGCGCTGCAATCAAGTATACTGTTAGATGTTTGGCATTAAAATGTATATACGTTCGTTAAATAATAAAGTGGAAAAATTATTGCGGCAAGTGAAACGTTTTTAGAGGGAAAAAATTAACTTTAATTTTTTTATCTTTTTACTTTTCAGTTTTTTTTTTTTTTAAATTGAAATTTATAAGAATTTTGCTTTTCATTCAAAAGTTTAACGCAATAATTAACACAGCAAGCACCGCAATTCTGTTGCGTTAAAGACGGAAGGAAATTTTGCCTCCCATGAATTTGTTAAATTTTCGAGATAATAATAAAAAGAAAAGAAACAAAAGTTTAAAAAATATATATACAGTTGAAGTTTACTTGCCACATTGGTTTTTCCAACGCAATAACGTGCTTCTCGTATATATTAAAAAATGCTCTTGATTGTAACTCTTTGTATGGTTTAATAACATGATTTATCTCTAAAATTGTGGTAAAATAAAATATATATGTTATGAAATAATGAATATTCATAATCATTTTATATTTTTACTACTCATGTGATTCAATTCATCATTTAATATGAGAAATTGAAAAGATGATACAATTGATTCAATTAATTATGAATTTTTTAATGGTTAATAGTCTTTTTCAATTTTTTTCTTGATCTTGAAACATATAAAAAAGCTTGATTGTTCATTAGTTTAAGAAGATGTGTTTTGTAGAGATTGAGAGAATTATTTAGCGTTCTTATTAATTATATTTACTTTATTTCATAATGAATTTATTTTCTTATCATCTTTTTCTTTGATTTTATTATTTTTAATATTTTTTTATAATACATTATCAACACAAAACTCTAACCTATCGAGATAATAGACCATAAGGCATATATCTATCAAAATACTCAAAGATCAATTTTATGTATATCAAAATAATAGTAATTGAAATTAATAACTTATTAGTTTTTTTATTTATAAATAAGATATTTTTTATTTTTTATAATTTCTATTGTATAGTGATAGTTATAAATTTATTTTGTTATTTATTTATTTATTTTATGAAGAATATTTTTTTTGTGTTTATTTAATTATTTATTTTGAGTTAATATTATATCTAATAGTATAGCGACTATATTACTTGAAAAGACAAATTTTTAATGCTCTAAAAGAATAAATATATTATTAGAATAACTAGTCCGGAAGGTACAAGTCATAACAAACCATTGTATGTCATGGTGAAATGAAAAGATCATGTGATTGATAAGATCCTAATAGATAATGGTTCTCGCTCTCAATGTCATATCTAGGCATATCTTGGATTGCTTACCTTTTCGATGCATCGTATATGCGTCCAAGTAATATGATGGCAAGAGCTTATGCTAGTTCTCTTAGATAGATGATAAGAGACATCGATATCAACCTAAATACAAGTCCGAATTAGTTTCAAGTCATTTTATAAGTCATTAACATTTAACCCTCTTATAGTATGCTTTTAGGCCGACCTTAGATTCAACCTAGGAAGGTCGTGGCATATTTATTGCATCAAAGGTTTAATCGCATAGCTAATGGAAAGTTGGTCACCGTAATTGTTAAGGAAACTCTATATATGGCAAAGAATGTGTTGATACCTTATATAGAGGTGGAAAGAAATAAGGATGGATGTTTACATGCTTTTAAAATTATCAATTTCATGTTAACACTTGAGAATATATTGTTAAGGAAGCTCGAGATATCCAATGCCGCAAAGATGGCAACCAAGTATACAATGAAGGATGGGTTTCCCTTGCATTATGATTTGAGTAATGATGGAGTGCTAGAAAGTTTGAGCAACGTGAAAGATGTCGACCAATGCTTCGAATATAGTTTAAACTAAGGAAAGATTACCTAAAGGTGATTAAAAAAAAAAGGTTGGCCGGGATTGAGAGACGGGAGCCAAATGATGAAAAAATCCATATTCCTCTCATTCACACAACCTTTCCATACCCGACCTTTGTCATCCATCAAGATGGGAAAAGGGTAGACTTAGGGGAAAAATTGACTGGCTTTTTTATCAACCATTTGGAAATGAAAGAGAATGAGGAGAATGATTAAGTTGTTTATCCCGAATAGATGACTCGTTAACCCTCAAATTGCTATCTCATCTTAGTTGAGTATCAACACTCTTGAAGAGATGATACCAACCGATCAATTGGTCACAAAATATGCCCTAGATGAGGAGCTCAACAACTAGAAAGAAAAGGAGATCTAGCCTATCCATAAGTTTGAGTAATTTACTATTTTGATATCTTAATCTTTTTAGTAATCCTAGCTCAAGATATTGAAAAAGAACTTATCTATTTTGAGCATTTTTATATTTAATATTAATATGAGATCATAAATTTTCTTTTAAATTTTGTAGCCATTCACCCTTTTTCGTCCATTTCTTTTATTCTCATATTTTTAGACTTTCGGTGATATAGAAAATGAACATCTCTTAAATTTTTAAAATAATTACATTGAACATATTTGGTCTAAATTTGATAAGACATTAATCATAATGGATGGAGAAAAATGAGAACGAGGATGATGTAAGAGAGTTTGCTAAGCTAGTAAAACTATCCGAACAGATTATAAAGCCACACCATGAGGAATTATAAGAAATAAATATGAGTACCAAGAAGAGCCATAAAGATTTGAAGATTGGAACTTTAATGTCAAAAGAGGAAAATGCTAGATTGATTGTTTTGCTATGAGAATATGTCGATATATTTGCTTGGTCATATGAAGATGTGTCAAGTCTAGATACCAATATTATGGTATATAAGCTCCCTTTATTGCTTGATTATAGGCAAGTAAAATAGAAGTTAAGAAGAATAAGGCCGGACATTCTCATCAAGATCGAAGAAAAGTTCATTAAGTAGTTTGAAGCATGATTCTTGAGATCGATCAAATACCCAACTCGGGTATCCAATATCGTGATAACGGATAAGAAGAATAGAAAGATTAGAATGTGTTTCAACTTCTAAAATCTAAACAAGGCTAGCCCAAAAGATGATTTCTCACTTCGCATGTCGACATGCTAGTTGACAATGTCGTAAAAAATTTCACTTATTCTTTCATAGATAGGGTTTTTAGATATAATTAAATTAAAATAGATGAGGATGATATGGAACTTTCATCTCATCATGAGGAACATACTACTATAAACTATGTCATTTGAATTAAAAAATACAAGAGCAACTTATCAATAAGCCATGGTTACCTTATCCCATGACATGATGCATAAAGAGATATAGGTATATATGGAGGAATTGATTGCCAAGTCCAAACCTAAGGAGGATCATACCTAAATATTAAGAAAGTTATTTGAATGACTAATGAAATACTTATTGAATTTGAACTCTATAAAGTGCATTTTTAGCGCCGAGTCGGGAAAGTTGCTAAGATTTATTATAAGTAATAGGAGAAGTGGATCTTGATAAAATTAAAACCATTCAAGTGATGTTGTTACTTAGCAACAAGATGGAGGTCGAATCTTTTGGGATGCTTGAATTACATAGCCATGTTCATTTCATAACTTATGACCACATGTGATCCCACTTTTTAACTGTTTCAAAAGAAAAACCTAGATGCTTGGGATAAAAACTATCAAGAAGCCTTCTATCGGACCAAGCAATATCTATAAGGTCCACCTCTACTCGGTCCACTAATTCTTGGTCGACCTTTGATTTTATACTTAGTAGTTATTGAGGTTTCCATGAGACGTGTTCTAAGCTAATCCGATGATTCCGAAGGAATAAAAGACTACTATCCGAGTAAGAAATTTACAGATTATAAGTCTTATTATAATATGTTAGAGAAATTATGTTGTAATTTTGTTTGGAGTGCTAGATGACTCAAACAAGTACATGTCATACTATACTACTTAGTTAATCTCAAAAATCAATCCTCTCAAGTACATCTTTAAAAAACTCGTATCTATCTAGTAGAATTATAAGATAACAAGTGCTTCGATGGAGTGTAATATTATCTACATGACAAAAAAATTAATGAAAGGTAGAGCTATTACAAACCATCGGAAGGATAATGTTATTGATGATTATGAATCATTAAATTTTGATTTTCTTGATGAGTACATCATGAAATTGAAGGCAATGGCGATCGAATCCAATGATGAGTGGTGGACCATGTATTTTGATAGAGCCGTAAATGTCTTAAAAAATAGTATAAGTCCAACTATAATCTTTTCAAGCAAGTAAACAATATCCTATATCCATTCGACTCCAATATGAATGCATAAATAATATGGTTGAGTATGAGGCTTGTATCCACAAGTTAGAAGTCATTTAAGAAAGAAATATAAGAAAGGTTGATGTATATAAAATTTGAAGTTGATAATCCGTTAAGTCGGAGGTGAGTGGCAAACCAAGGATGAAAAGTTAAAGCCTTATCGAGCACATCCGACCAAGTTGCTTGAAGAATTTAATAAAATAGATTTTACACATCCGAATCGAGATAATAACCAATTTGCTAATGCTCCAAGCAACGTTGGCATCCATGACTCAACTAGACTACAAGGTAAGGATACAACCTATTTATATTAAAGCCAAAATCTTACCATCCCATT